TCATAACCTTACTTACATAATAAACTAATTTACCATGTGATTTGTTAGAAACCTTTTTGCTTTGATGCTCACATTGTACTTTATCTAGTCATGAGGACTCACTTCAGACTGTGCTCTCTGTCCTCGTGTCATGCGTCCGTCCTGTCTCTTCCTGCACAGGATGGTCCTCGCTCATCTTGGGCTTTCTCTTGCACTGTTGTGGTCTTAGTCACTTTTTCCAAGAATCCATGCATTTTTTTGAGAAAAAGGGCATTTATAGGGTTAGATCTGATTCTAGGTTTCTCGGTTAGTAAGGTATCACTGGCCTGAGGCCCTGTGAGGAGCCAGACCTAGAGAACATGTATATGTGTGCAGATTGTGGTATATATTATAAACATGCTCAAATACAACATGTGAATACAATTTACTTTTGACTGTATATTTATTTCTATATTTTATATATGTGTGTATGTACTGGCTATCTATTAAAATATAGATACTATATATATGTAAAGTGATTTAAAATACAGAAAGAAAATCCTAAGTTCATGATATATTTCCAATTCTCACTCAACACTGTAAGCGTTTTTAAGGCACAGTGACAACGTTTTAGCTCAAGTATTGGAAATAAGAAGTAAATCAATCCCTTCCTCTAAAGCATTTAACTTCGTTGTAGTTGCCATAACAGTTTTCTTCTTTGGGATAAGAAGTTCCTGATGTTATTCTGCCTTTATCTGACAGCCACCTGCCCTGAAGGATGTTGCCTCCTTAAGCATTAACAGCATGTGACTTCTCTTACTTCATATTTCTCATTTCCTGTTTTGAGATTCTCTAGGAATTACAGTTTTCTGCTTTTCCATATTTATCATTTCTTTCATCTCCAGTGAGAAACTTAATTCTCATTATTCTTATATGCTTACCGTTTGTCTTGGTTACTTTTCTCTCATTGCTGAGACAAAATACCTGACCCCCAGTGTTAAGGAAGGAAAGGTTTATGTAGCTCACAGTTTGTGGAGGTTTCAGTCCATAATCAGCTGGCTCCAAGGCAGAGTGGCACATGGCAGAGGGCAACAGTTCATGGTGGCAGAAGACAGCAAAAGCAGCAAGAGCAAAAGGGAGGAGAGGCAGAGGGAAGAGCACGCTTCTTTCCCTCCCTTATATGGTACACTGGTTGCCCCCCTCAACCCAGGACAGGTGCAACACTCACACCCATAACCCCAGCATTGGACCATGAATCAATCATACACTCTAGAAGCCCGCCCCATGACTGCATGAGGCTTTGGGGGGACATCCAGACACAAACCGTAACACAGGTTGTTTGTTCTATCATCTTGTATGTAACTGTATCTGAAGTTTACCCCGACCCCCGTGAAATTCCTCCTGCCCAGCCCAAGTATTCCGTGCTGGTTCAGCGCTCCTCACTCTAGATGCACGGGGTCTCCTGCCTGGGACTTGATGCTCATGCTAGTCTTCTCTGTTTTTTAAAATTTTTTATTTTTTATTTTAAGAAACAAAAGAAGGAAAACATTAACAAACACAGCTATTTACAAAATAGCATAAGAACAATACAAACAAAACAGAGTTAGAGACAAAGTTGTAGAAAATTAACAATGGCTGTTGTATTACATATTGATATCTTCAAAGTGGTTTCTCAAGAAAACAAACAGAGACATACAAGACTGATCACACAAGTAATCATTAACTGCTCCTTTCTGTAGAGCAATAGAAGACAGTAGTACAACTATGTTCGCTATCCTGTATATACATACTTACATCATTTCCCCTTCTTTCCCTTCCTTTTCCCACACCCCAGTTGCCCTTTACTTTTGAGCATTTTCCTTTCATTTCACAATGTCTATCATACCTCCTAGTTTTTATTCACTCTTTCAGGTCTTACACTAGTGAGACAATATGATTCTTACACATGCAGGTCTGATTTATTTCACTTATGAGTATGGTCTCTAGTTGTGAGCATTTACGTATAGAAGTCTCGAGTTTATCTTCCTTTATAGCTGAGTAATATCCCATTATATAAAGTACCACAATTTTCTTATCCAGTCCTCGGTGGATGGACATTTGGGTTGCTTCCACAATTTAGCAATTACAAATTATGCTGCTATGAACATGGGTGCACATATATCACTGTGATATGATGTTTTCATACCTTCTGGGAAAATACCCAGAAGGGGAATAGCTGGGTTGAATGGGACCTCTAGACCTACATTGCTGTGGAGTCTCCGAACTGATTAGTCTTCTCTTTGGAAAAGCCCGCTTTAGCACACTTGGTGTCTGACACCCCCCCAGCCCACTGTCCCTCAGCACCCCAGACACTTCAGACACCTACCTTCACTCCTCCTCACCTGACTTTAGGACGAAGTTGGTCAGGAAGCGGAGGTCTCACCTAGGTTAAAAAATGATGCAGTGAAGGCCAAGTTTCTCGTGTGGCTTGTCCAGGGTCACAGGGCAAATCAGTGGTAGCATCAGTGCAAACTCGGATGGTCCTAAATATGCACTGTGTCAGGCCGTAGACATTTCCCCTCTGGCACAACGCTTTGTCCTCATGACTACACAGTGGCTTAGTTGAGTGGAGGGAGTGAATGAGTTTGTGTTTTGTTTGGTTTTCTTTTTATTCCTTGTCTTTTTTCCTGTACTGGAGTTGAACCCACTGAGCTAAACCCCCAGTTTTGTTATTCAGCAACAGCGTTTCTCTAAGTCACTAAGTGGCTCAGGCTGGGCTCAAACCTGTGATCCTCCTGCCTCAGCCTCCCAGAGGTGTGAGCTACCGCATCCAGCTTTCTTTCTTGTCAGGTTGGTGTGTGTGTGTGTGGGTGTGTGTGTGAGAGAGAGAAAACTGATGACCGCATATACATTTGTTTATAAACAGTAGAAATTCATGCCCTTATTTAAATGTCAACATCTAAATCTCTAAGCTAAGAATTTCTCCACTCCATGAATTTCTAGTGCTTAGCTAGACAGGTGGCAAGTCTTACAAAACCAGCCACACGGCTGGACATAGATGCTCTAGGAAGCTACATCCATTGCTGCGTCTAGGGCTTCCAGCTGATAATAACTGAGGTTATTATCACAAGGATAATGTATCTTAGGATGGCATTTAGAAATACCATCACACAGGGTGACACTTCAAACCATGAAGATAGTACATTTTTAAAAATTATTCTTCTCACCCCAGGTACCTCACCTTTCCACGAAAAATGTATATCCATTTCCAGGCATTTGCTGTGGACAGCATATGGAGACATTAAGAAATAGCTTTAATATGTCTGTAATGAATGAGAGACTCGCTCCCTCCTTTGCTCTGCACTTCCGCTGCGGTACCCTGAAGCCCTTCCACTCCCTTCTCTGAAACTCAGTGTCGAATACTTAGGGCTTGGTGCTCCTGTCGCTCAAAGCTGTACTGTGACAAAGTGTCGCAGAGAATTGGAGAAAACATCCATTTTGTTTGGGGGTGAACCGAAGGCCAGCTTCAAGGCAAAGCTTAGTTTTTGAAACCTTGTTTAATGCTCCTGAAGGAATTAATGGCCTAATATCCTGTGATAGTGAAAATTTATTACATTTCATGTTAGTTGTTGCTATTTGTCTTATTGGGAGTTATATCCCGGTGCCTCATCTAGAATGAGTTTTTTGCGGTCCCATCCATGTCTTGTAATAACCCTGGCACGCTGAAGCCACTTACTCAGCGTGGGCGCCATGGGCTGAGGCAGCATCCAGAGCACCTGTGTCATCCACTGGGAGTGGAACTCTGAGGAAGTGCGCGCTCATTCATCCTCTCGTTCATCCCACGGTGTGGCGGGGACAGGGAAGAACCTGTCCTGGGCAAGAGTCAGGGCTACAGCTGCAGAGAGACATCAGCTTGCACAAACCCAGAGGAGTTTCTTCCCTGGGCTGCTGTGACAAAGTACTAGGAACTGAACTGTTTTAATAACAGGGTATGCCGGGCATGGTGTCGCACGCCTGTAATCCCAGCACTTGGGAGGCCGAGGTAGGAAGATCGTTGTGAGTTCGAGACCAGCCTGGGCTACAAAGTGAGCTCAAGGCCAGCCTGAACTGCATAGCGAGACCCTGTTTCAAAAAGAAAAATTAAATTAAATTAAATTTTAAAATAATAGGGTTTATTGTCTCCCAGCTCTGCACAAGTCTAACATCAGAGTGTTAGCAGGACCAGGCATGGTGGCGCACGCCTGCAATCCCAGCACTGAGGAGGCTGAGGGAGGAAGATCGCTATGAGTTCGAGGCCAGCCTGAACTGCATAGCGAAGCCCTGTCAGCTGACTTCTTCTGAGGACTCTGGGAAGGTCCTGTTCTCCTTGTGGCTTGTAGATGGCTGTCTTCTCCCTGTGTCGTCTCCTGTCATCTTCCCTCTGTGCATGTCTGTTTCCACATGTTTTCTTCTTGTAAGGATTCCAACCATATTGATTTAGGACTCTTTAATGAACTCATGTTAACGCAATTACTTCTAGAACAACCTTATCCTCAAACCAGGTCACACTGAGTCACTGGAGGTTAGAACTCCATAGTGTGAATTTTGGTGGGGACACCATTCAGCTCATAATAGATGGGTCTTTATACCAGGATTTGGAGCTTGTTAAAGCTCACTCTGAGCCAGCACGCCCACCCACCAAGTGCAGCTCTCAGAATGTAGGGTCCTTAAAGGAAAACAAGGACTGTAATCATCAGTGTCTACTGCTGTTCATCCTCTTACCGGCAACACACTGCATTTCCTCTAGAGGGTGTTTGCATGGCGTGAAGCACCTGCTGCTCCACCTCTGCTGCGCAGTCCTGAAACACATACATAGGAAGCTTAGCTGCAGGTGAAGACGGGATCCCCGTCTTCCTGACATTCTCTCTGGTTCCTTTGTTTCGGTTCCCTTTGTTCACTCTCTTCCTTGTCCAGATATTCACCCTTTGACCCTCTTTGCTAGTTCCTCCCCTTTCTTTATTGCCCTAAGTTGCCTTCATTTTCCTTTAACTCCATTTTTTTTTCGGATTCTCCTTCAGTGAAGGATGAGGACATCGCCATCAGAATCTGGACCTTTTATTAGATGACTTGGACTGTGTCCTGCTGGATTAACCCCAACACTCCTGAAATACAAGGATATCTGCCTAACAGATCGCTGAAAGGAGGAATTACTTTCCTGGTTTGGAGTAGAATTTGATTAAATTTCTTGGCTAAGAAGAAGCAAATCTAGCTGCTTTTCACCGAGGTGTGGATTTGTGATTTGGCTTTACCATGGCTTCCTGCGTCACCCGTAACATCAGAGTGCTGGTGGCCATTGTGTGTGGGCTGCTGACAGTCATCATTTTGGGACTAACCATCTGGAGGACCGTGATGAGGATCCAGAGAGGTAATATGACCCTGTTACATTTAACTCAGGCAGAAGGCACTGTACCTCTGCCCCTGACACCTGACATACCAGTGCTGGAAAATACTCTGTTCTTGCTGAGGCTGTCCACCAGTCTATACAGTACAAGAGTAAATCAACAGTTAACAAGTGGCTATATAGATTATACATGTGTATATGTAAATACATGTGTGAGTGTGAGTAGGCAGGGTGAACCATGGCATGGGTGTACTAGCTTCTTGTTAATCTTGTAACTCTTAACCAGACTGACAGTTGATTAACAACTTAAATTATTCAAAACACATATTTAGGCATTTTTAGCTAAATCCACAAAAGGTAGTTAAGGGCACACATTCACCGTTAAATGTTTGCAAAATAGAATTTTGTTTCAAGAAAGATGTTTAGAAATGTCACTAGGTAATGTTATCACTAAGTAACATGATCAATGGTTTTATACTAAGAAATTTTGTACTAAGAAATTAATATAATTTTTAAAAATTCCTTTTCTGGTTCCTCAGCGTGCTTTTGTCAGTCCCCTGGTGTATTCTAGAGCTGATGTGAGAAGGCGGGGAAGCAGCAGTATGTAAAGCAGTGATGGGAAAGGAAAGCCCCAGGGAGCTCACAGTAGGGGCTTTCAGTGATCCTAATGCTGATTTGCGGGAACAGTGCAGGTTCTCCACAAAGGTATTCAGTGTTGGGTGTGTGGGACACTCCTTCCGGGAAAACCCAGAAAATTTCTAATGAAACCGAGTAAGGGAAATTAATGTCAGTCAAAAGAGGCAGCAGAGGGAGCAGTCTGCGCCCTGGGCAGATAACTGCTGTTGGTACACGGCGCGTGGCTGAAGAACTCCTCTGCTACGGCAAAAGGGATCAGTGTCTGCACTGCTGACGAAGTGGTAGTGGGAATGAGTCCATCCTCTGGACCCCAGAGAATAATACTGAAGAACATGGTGTTAATGGTATTTCGAGAACTAGAATAAGAAATTATCAGAGCAAAAAGAAATTATCAGAATAAGCACTTATTAGAACATTTAAGCATGGGAAAATACACCTTTGTTTGGGAAAATGTGCCTTTGACATAAAGACATAAAATATGCCTTTATTTCATGCTTTGTAAAATAGTTTAATTCAGGCCTCCACAAATTATGAACTTGAGATTTTTCTCCCTGTTATTTGCTAAATTAATAAGACCTTATAATATTTGAAGCATATATATTTGAGAAACCTTCTCTTCCTTTTTCCCTTTATGTAGATGACACCTACTTTTCAAGGGAAATGTGTGGTGGCTTTGAAAGGATGCAGTTATAAAACAACCATTAAAACAAGGACCAAAGTACAAAAACAGCACAAGGACACGGGCAAAATGGAGCACAGAAAACATATAAAAGTCAAGAGCTCAAGGGGAGTTCCTGAGGATAAACAAAGACATATCCTTGAGCTTAGGAGCTAAGACTAGAAAGAATAACAGGAAATGCTGCATTTTGTAGCATAGAAGCATGCGGCCTGCCATGGAAAGATGAACTCTTCCCTTGTGCGACAATTTCCAGTTGGCTGTTTATAAAAGCGCATCTCCTAACTTTTGGTAAATCGAGTAGAAAAAGAGCCATCACTGTCATTTACAGAAACAGGTGAAAGACTGTTAGTCTGCTGTTGCTTTTTGTCATGCACATTTTATTCAGAATGTGCTTGTGCTATTTATACACGCAGTTGCTCTAAGACCTACAGTTTCAAAGATTCTTGTTATGTTCCGGACACGATGCTAAAACTTCACAGATCTTATCGCATTTACTCTCAGTCCACCTTTAAAGCAGACAGTAAATCAAGGTTCGGAGAATATTTTCATGCTTAATAGCTAAAACGTGTTAGGTCTGGGTTCTGATGTTCGCATCTGTGGTCTTAACACTCACATTATTTTACCTTCCCCTGGAGGGAAGACAGGGGTAACCCATGAGCAGTTCCTCTTTTTTTTAACACAACAGTAGCTGATAACCCTAGTTCACAAAGATATTCAGTAAACAGTAGAACACTGTGTTGTTCTGCCAGGCAAAGCCAGGCTCTTCAAGAAGTCCCATTCTCTTCAAGTCAGTCAGCCCACAGTACTAGCGTAGTTTATAAATTAGCGGGTATGCTTAAATTTGGGAGTTTCTGAGTTTGCCATGGTGTCTTGTTGGTGTTAACTGTAGTGACAGGTCCCAAGAACGAGATGCCCTCAGATGAATAAGAAAAGGTAAGAGACAAGAAAAACAAGACAGCTAAAAATCTGGGATCAGGGGGCTTCCAGTCTCTCGGACTGCGGCGGTCCCAGTCACTCACCTCCATCACCTTTTATTAGAACAAAGACCGTAACTAAAACCAACAGGAGAAATTCATTATCCCTTTCCAATTCTGCCTCTCAGCTGATGGTAACAATCCTCGGGTGAGCCTCCCACACCCAGCACCACGTTCACTCGGTTCAGCTGGGAATCAGTCCATTAGCAATCTCAGTCCTTTCCCCACAGTGTCTATAGAGTTTTGCTTATGGAGAAACTGCCATGGCTTTGACACTTTCTACTAAGTTGTACAGAGTGTTTCCTTCAGCTCTTCAAAGTGATAGCTTGTCTGCCTTAGTCTCCTAGTCTAAAACGGCAAAAAAAGAATGTATGTCCTAGTAGTACTCATCCTGGCTACTAAATGCCTCTGATGGAAAGATTTCTCACATTCATAAATCCCCACATATTGAATAGCCGTCAAACAGAATTTGAATGAGCTCAATTCTAATTGTTTTAACTGTGTTTTCCTTTTTATTTTTTTAAAAAAATCATTGCTTTAAAAAAAAAAAAGCACTTCAAGACACGGTCTCTAGAATGCCAGAAGTCTTCCATCTAGTACAGATTGTTTAAATTCTGTGCCCATTTTTTCATTAGACCTTTTGTTACAAGATCACAGGTTAAGGTCTTGGTATTAACAGCATTTCATGGGAAATAAGACCTGTTTTCAGAGTTGCTGGCATAGTCTGTCACTTTTACATGCCACCGATGAAAACATTAAATAAGAATGACCCTTTTCACCCAAATGCTACAAAGATATATTGCAAGTGTATGATGCTAGGCACAAGATTTCTTATCCACTGGACCTTGAGACCATATTCTCAAGTGAGATAAATCAGACATACATGCAAATATTCCATTGTGTCACCGGTGTGAGAAACTGAAAGTGTAAGTAAAAACCAAATTTACAAGAGATCTGGTGAAATGGGAAGAAATTGCTCAAAAGGAGAGGGGAACTAGGGAGAGGGGAGGGGAAAGGAAGAAAGAGAAAACAGAAAATGAGAAAAGAAGGATAAAATGGGAACAAAGAAATGAGGAGAGGAAGAGTGTTGGAGGGAGGGGAGAAGAATGGGAGGGGAGAAAGACAAATGAAGGTACCTTATATACAGGTACAGACTCTCTGCTCCCTATGTGAATGTGACTGTTGTGTATTCCTAAATGGTACCAATAATCTTAACTAAATTGAGAAAAGATTTCCTATCCATTTAATGTTTGGCTGGGCAAAGAAAAAATTTAAAACTACTGATGAATTTTTGGAATTTCCAAAAGAAATTCAAGACAAACTTTTCTAAGATATCAGTTTACTTTGAGTACTCCTCACATGCGTATTCAAGAGTTTCGCATGAATGTCTCATTCTTTGATGTAAAGTTCTCATGTTTAAAGTCACCTTCTCAGGAGAAATCTGTCCTGTCTAAGTGATCTTGCAGCTGCTCTTTTTTACATTTAGTTATACTTTTTTTTGTTTTTACCACCGCTCCTTTTAAACTTTGTTTCACTATTTGATCATCTCCCCGCTACTAGATTGAGCGACCCAAGAGTGCAGGTGGCTTTATTGACCAACCTGTGTACCTTACAACTCGAATAGGGTTTGTATCATAGTTGCCAAAGCAGTCATTGATTAAAGGAATGGATCACATGAAAACCAGATATTGGACTTGGTCTCTTTGGGTTGGTACAATAACAAAAATTTATTTCTTGGAACCTTCTGAACAATATAAAATAGATGAAATTTTGTATTTTGAATCAGAGGGGCCATTTTACTTTTCTTCCTCTGCTCTAAGCCATGTGATGCAGGCCGTGTCCAGGACTCTTGACTTAATTAGAGTCTTTACTTTTTTGTGGCTTCTTTCATGGAACCTGTGATCCACAATCTTGGAGGGTGCTTTTGTGTTGGGAGCAGATCTACGTTTTGCCAGACCCACAGCCTTTTCCCACTGGGCATTCTGCAGAGAAAACATCTGCCTTGTTTGGTGCGTTTATAGAATGAAAAAAGAACCCTGAGGTGCTCTGTCTTTGCTGCCTTTGTGCTTCGATTGTAACACCAGAAGTGGCTTTTGGGCCCCACCACGTAAGCTAAAAAAGTAAAATGCAAACATAATTAAGCTTTATTGTATGTCTTTTCTTTGACATTTTCCATCTTTGAGCTGGGCCTAATGTAAACATAGACAAATGCTCAAAATCATACTGGTTGGGGATATTTTCTTTAACTTCCATCGAGGGGAGAACATTTAAACCTCCAACCACATTCAGAGAACTGTGAGTCCTTATTTAATCATGTCCTAATCCTCACCCCCTCCAAATATTGCAGCTTTCATTTCCTTCCAAATGGTTTACTTCCTCATCAGCCAGCGAGAGACAACAGTGGGCTGAAATCGTCTCGAACCCAAGGCCAGACTTCACAGCACTAATAATTATCATGCAGCAGAAATGTGGGTTTCACGAAAGGACAGGGAGAGTAACTCGTTTCTCAGAAAATAATCTGTGCACAGACACTTGGTTTTAATTTCCATCAGCTGTGTATTTCCTCCTGAGACAAAGTCCATGATAAAGCACGCCATCTGACTATTTCTGCAGGACAGTTGGATTTTAGGGTTTTAAAAAATCTAAACACGCATTTTCTGGCTGGAGGAAACGGCTACAGGGCAACTGTGGTGTTCTTGGTCTCAGGCCTACTGTGAGTAACCTCTCCTTTGTTC